CCCGGCGCCACCACCACTCCCTGCGATACCGAGACCTGGCAGATCATCACCTCTACTGTGATCCCCGGCCCTCACGGCGCCGGTTCGATCACTGTCACCGTCCCTGTTGTTCCTACCGGAACCGGCATCCCGGGCTTCCCCGGTGTCCCCAGCGGTCCTGCTCCCTCCGCTTCCGGCCCTGCCTCTTCTGGACCTGCTCCCTCCGGCCCTGATGCAACTACTACTCCCTGTGACACCGAGACATCGGAGATTATCACCTCTACTGTGATCCCCGGCGGTCCCAACGAGTCTGGCTCCAAGACCGTTATCATCCCTGCCGTGCCGACCGCCACTGGACCTGCTGAGACTCCCTCCGGCGTTGCTCCCACCGGCACTCCTGTCGCTACCGGCCCCGCTCCCTCTGGACCTGCCCCTAGCGGCCCTGCTGCTAGCACTCCCTGCGACACTGAGACCTCCGCCATTGTTACCTCGACTGTGATCCCCGGTGGCCCGGTTCCCTCCGGCCCCGCTGCCACCACTGAGGTGCCTGTTCCCTCCGGCCCCGCTGCCACCACCGAAGTGCCCATTCCTTCCGGCCCTGCTGCCACCACTGAGGTGCCTGTTCCCTCCGGCCCCGCTGCCACCACCGAAGTGCCCGTTCCTTCCGGCCCTGCCCCTACCAGCGCTCCTTCCAAGCCCTCCGGTGGTGAGTCTGTTGTTACCAAGACTGTGACTGTGACTGCCACCGTCTGCGGCTGCGAGTAAAGCAGACACCATATTTGGACATATACCGATACAATGACCCTAGAAGGTCTCTCCATTGGATTTCCTTTAACTCTGTGACTTTTCTGATTTTGTACCCTCCCTCCCACGACAAGATGACATCCGCCATCCATCCCATCCTGTGATCTACCGTCTCTAGCGTCTCTGTAGATACTTAATTTTAATTCTAATCAGCTTGTGTGGCGATTGAAAGATCCTGTTCATCATGAATATCGCATGTTTATCACATGTTCTGGTATGCTTGTGTATGGTTCTGGGATGGATGCATTTTGAAGATCCCTTGTTGACTGATTGCCTTGAGCATATACATATTCTTTCCCTTCAATGGAGTACATTCCTTTCTTTTTGTGTTCTATTGGGTCATCCGAGATAATCTTCGCGATTTTTTTGGACATCGGAAAATCTTCCGAACCGCCAGCTAAGCTAGCTGAGAAGTCTAGCTATATAGGTTAGGAGAATATCATCATACTTTCCATCATCAAGGACAGTCCACTTTACAGAGTATCAGAAAAACATCAATCCTGATTTAAAAAACAATGGTTGGAATTTTTTTACAAAGTACACGTACAGCGCTAAAACGCACACATTTCGTTGGCGTAAATCTCAAAGTTCAAGTCACATATGGCCCAGTATAAATCCCTCCCACTGGTTCTTGCTGCTCTCGTTTAGTCCTGCTTTGGCTATAAGGCAGCATGGCAATACATCTCTCACGAAGTAATTTCTCACGAAACTCAGTTGAATGTATCCACGCAGAATGCGGTTTCTGGGTCTAAGCGTCGCGGGTTCGTTAGTATCCACATCACCATGGCAGCTTGAGAAACAACATGACATGTGAAATTTCTAGACGAACATTATGTAGGAATCGAAACAGGGTGGTGAAGGATGCAAGATGGAGGTCGGAGCTGGAATCTCAATTCTCAATGACCAACCTGCTCGGCAACTTTTGTCTCACTGTCATCAGCTTTGGATGGATCATCAGCTTTTATGGGGGGGTCGGGTGGAATCCTCATTCTCATCAGCCATCTTGCGTCGTTTCTCATCAGGGTTGTATCTTTCTAAAGAGCGGCGCCGCTTGCCGTCACCCTTCTTGGGGCTGCGGCTGCGGCTCCGACCACCGCTGGGGCTGCGGCGTCGACGGTTCTCACCACGATCACGTGTACCGGTACGGTCAGGGCTGCGGCTGCGGCTTCGACTGCGACTGCGGCTCAAGCGACGAGAATCGCGGCGGGCATAGCGTCCAGACGAGCGGCGGGACCTTGAGGGAGAGACGGACTTGGGAGAGTCTGCCTGGCGCCGGGTGCGGCGAGGCGATGAGGATGCACTGCGGCTGCGAGAGACGGAGCTTTTTCGGCGGCGGTCTCCTCTGGTGGAACGTGAGCGCGGGGAACGGCTGCGGGAAATGGGTCTTGCTTTAACACGGTCACCGTAGTCCGGACTGCTGCGTCTTCTGGCTCCTCCGCGGTTGTGTCGCTCGGGAGATACTGAGTTGCTTGGGGAACGGGGGCGGCGTTCGCGTCGCCTATGGCGTGGCTCGTCGCGGTTTCGGCGAGATAGTGACGATGGCTTTGGAGATCGAGATGGCGACCGAGTGCCGTGTGGAGATCTGGATGGCCGGCGACCGCGACGATTGCCAGGCGGCACGTAGGAGTCGAAGTCCCGTCGCGATGGAGGTTCACGGAATCGGTCTCGGCTGCGGTCTTGGTCTCTGAGAGGCGAAGATCGTCTGTTAAAGTCTCGTCCCCGACCTCCACGGCCACCGCGATCGCCACGATCACCACCTCTTCCTCCACGTCCACGGTCTGGTCGCTCGCGGTGTCTCACTTCGTCCAGCTCTCGTTCACGGTTTTGGTCTTGTTCCCTTTGTCGCCGAAGTGCTTCACTAGCTTTCTCAGCTTCGAGCTATTTTACAGTATGATTAGAAAACATCCTATGTCGAGGGCAAGCTTACAATCACCTTCTCCTGTATGAGCTCCTGCTTCTTAGCTTCCAAGAGTTCTTTCGGAACGCCTTGTGGATTAGCCTGGCCGCTTAGACACAACGACCACAACTCTTGACAGAACTTGGGGGTGTCTTTGTCTAGGAATCCGGTGAGTTGTATTTGGAGAGATTTGATATCGGGCTAGAACCAGAAATCGATGTCAGCAAACTAGTGTCGAGACGCTAGATGTCCGACGGCCCAACGTACGTAGCGCGGTCCCTCGAGATGCGCGAAACAGAGTTCGATAACCACGTCATCCTCGTTCCCCAAAATCTTGGAGATTTGGCTTGCAATCCATCTATATAGGAGCGGGGGAAAGCCATGTCAGTAAACCGGAGATACCGAAACCCCCCGGGAAAGTCACTTACTTCTTCATAACCTCAATATTGACCTTGGTCATATCCACCTTCTTGTTAAACTCAGGTGGAAACTTAGTCCGCCTAACCAGCTTGGCATCCACGCTGGACGACATTTCTGCTAGAGTCCGAGGTGAGGGTAAGGAAAGTCCATGACGAGCAAACGCGAGATAGATGTCCGCGGTGTTCGAGTTACACTTTTGGACCCTCGCGGCTGCCGTAAAATTCTGGCGCCTGACATATCAGGCGACGAACCGCCAACGGTTTCAGCGACAGCCTTGTTCCCTATGTCGATTTAAACGCCCTGTGATCCAATTGTTGCTTTTTAATTCTATCATCAGTTTTTCTTCTTTTCCACTGGTCTGAATAAGACACAATGAGAGCAAAACCAGTTATTAAACAAACTTTCAATCTTTCCCTCTTGAAAGGTATATAACTATATATCGGTGCCCCGATGGACGCGTCCCATATAAGCATGTTCATTGCTATCTGGCACTATACGGCCATAGTGTAATGCAACACATTACAGTATTTATCTGAGCCTATCATGCACATTAATTTTTGCTTTCTCTTGGAGGAATTGCATGGACTTGTGGACTCATACTAGTCTAACACCTCGAAGCTATGCCTCGGTATAATCCTCTTTCAGGGCTACTTTGACAACCTACTCTCTGCGGACAATTGATGGTTCGTGTCTTGCTCATACTGACTATATCTGATTTATTACGTTGCGTTTTGATTTCAATTTCTTTCCTCTGTCAGTATTTAAATCATGCTGAATATAGGAAGCCAGAGTAACGGTAGCACTTCATATTTACGTCACTTCGGAGTGATCGGAACGTCAGCTCATATGATAAAAATCCGGATTGAATAGCATGACGGCATTGACAGGTTTAGTCTAATGCTGTTCTATAATAGGGTGTATACTAACAAGTGGAGGTTATGCGGCTGATCCCCATGTCTGGTATAATGAAAAGCCGCATTGAAATTACTAAAGATACCCGAACACTCTCAACGAAGCAGGCTGGGGTATTATAAACATAGAGCCTCTATCTTTGTGCAATCTTCTTTACTCTAGCCCAGAATCAATTATTTTAATATGTTCTCTGGTATGTTGTGGTGCAAACGTCGCCATAGCAACAGCAAACACGTGATTACATAGCGCGGCCGCGATGAAACCTCAAGGTTGGGGTTTCTCCAGCATCAACAACACAACCGACAACTTTGGAGGGGCCACATTGATCTACGACTTCAATGTAGGTATTATCGCCATGGCGTCCCCGTCACTCCCAGCATACAACGAGCTGTACCAACAGTCAGTCCGACCGATGTCCCGATCCGCGGTTTCACGCTCGGGCTCCAGACGGGCATCTCCATCAACACAGGCTCTGCCCAGACATTACTCTGGGGACAGCTCCGACGAAGAGGTCCCGGAACCTAAATTTAGCGCTTCTGTTAAAGCATTGCTGCATGGAGATGGATTGGGCTCTTCGCCTCATTTACAAAAGGCACACGTGTCGCACCAACCTCGAATTGAAACTTCAAGACAGCAAAGCCGCTCACCCCGGAATTTGTCCCCGCATGACTCATCTAATGGTAGTCCTGCTCCAAGAGTTGTCCGTGTAGGAGCCATCTCATCGGCTTCTCGATTCTCACGCGAAGGCTCCCCACTATCAAATAGCCAGAACGCAGAACCAGAGTACCGCAGCCGGCCCAATGATTTTATTACCCCCGCTCCACGCCAACGCAGTGTTCGTATCAATGTTTCGCGCAGCAGCACACGATCCCCCACCTCTGTTTCGCCTTCGGGAAAGCGCTCATCGGAACGCAATTCGGGTGACGAGTACGGTAGTGCAGATCGCTCGGATAGTGATCGGAAATCGCAATTTGATGATGATCCAGCGATGCGATATGGCCTTTCTTCCGCATTGCGAGGGCGTGGCGGTGAAGAAATTGCTCCACACAGCTCCCTGCGTGTGAAGCGGGTTGGTCGACTTGCTGGCACCTTCTTGAACGGCCCTGCTAGGAGGGGCGTCCTTCGTCGCCAGAGCGAGGAAAGTAACGAGGAAAATCATCAATTTTTATCGGTAGACGGCGTCCGGGAGGACGTCGAGGGAGAGGAGGAGAATGCCGAATACCGACCTCGCAACCCAGCAAAACCTTCATCCCCCAAGGTGTCATGGGCTGACCCAAGCCCGCCCCGCGTGCATGAATACAATCGACTAGAATATCCTCTCCGCCCTGCCGAGGTTGAAGGACCGTTCTCGAGGTCATCCTCGCCAAAATCATATGGCTCAAAGTCCACACCCGCTTCATCAGAAATGTCTTCCAAATACTCGAGTGCGAAGGAACAGCCCGTATTCAAGGTACCTTCCATACCGGCTTTGCCATCAGTCCGTGACCAAGAGAATGAACCACCACCAACTTTCCGGCGCACAAAGCCACAGGGGTTAAATGTGTTAGATAAACCCGAAAAGTATAATGTTGTTTACGATACCGAGAAGAAAGATGTGGCGGAGACGCCAGCAACCAACTCTGCACGAAAGATACTTGCCACGCGGAGCAACAACACCCCTCGTAGGGCCGCTCCTCCTCCCCCAAAAATGTCAGTTCTTGAGACAGCGACTTCCACAGGAGGTGCATCGACATCCCAATCACGAAAAAAGAAGAGTCAAGTCACGATCAATGGCAAGCAATTCACTCGACTCGATTGTATTGGTCGAGGTGGCAGCTCGCGTGTTTATCGAGTGATGGCAGAGAATTACAAGATCTTTGCTCTCAAGCGTGTCAATATTGAAGATGTCGATCCAGTGACCTTGACTGGATACAAGGGTGAAATCGACTTGTTGAAAAAATTAGAGAATGTGGACCGTGTGGTGCGCTTGTTTGACTGGGAGCTGAACAATGACAAACACGCTCTTAGTGTGCTTATGGAAATCGGAGAGTCTGATCTTGAAAAGATTCTCACATTCCGTTTAAACGCCGAAGATGCTGTATTCGATATCAACTTTACTCGATTTTATTGGAAGGAGATGCTCGAGTGTGTCCAAGCTGTCCACGAGTACAACATCGTCCACTCAGATTTGAAACCGGCCAACTTCCTCATGGTTCAAGGCCGGCTGAAGCTTATTGACTTTGGAATTGCCAATGCGATCCAAGATAACACCGTCAACGTTCATCGTGAACAGCAAGTCGGCACACCCAATTATATGTCCCCTGAAGCATTGGTTGATTCCAACGTGTCACTTGGCCTCCCTTCAAGTGTCGGAAAAGTTATGAAATTAGGAAAACCCAGCGATGTCTGGAGTTTGGGTTGTATTCTGTACAAGATGGTCTACGGACAACCACCATTCGCCAAAATCGCTAAATATTATGAACGCATCATGGCTATCCCCAACCCTCGTGTACAAATCGATTTCCCGGCCTTCGGCGTCGGTGGAGTTCCAGTACCCCCTGGCCTTGTTCGGACCCTCAAGCGCTGTCTGCAACGTGACCAGACTCTCCGACCAACAATTGAGGAGATGCTTGGCCCGCGCGACCCATTCTTGCATCCCGATGCCCAGCTTGTGGGTGCTGTCCCAGTAACTCAGGACATGCTTGGCCGTATATTGGCCAATGTCGTCAACCATTGCAAGGCCCGCGGTGTACCCAGGGAAGAGGAACTGGCAGCATGGCCCGCAGGCTTCTTTGCAAAAATTAAAGCAGCCCTCGAAGAAGAAAATCCATGACAACACCCAATCACTCATTTCACTTTATTTCCTTTGCATTGATTGCCCTATTGGCCTTTTCTCACGTTTCTTTCTTGGTTAGAACGACTTAACGACAGGTGTTGGATATGTGAATCTTTTTTGGTCTGGGTCTGCTTGGTTAATTTGCGGGACATATGACTGCCTGCGTTTCTTTGCATTCTCTCTTCTCTTCTTTCTACATCATCCTTTGGGGTGTTTGTCCGACCCAACCATGTGGCTTTGTGGTGGGTTATTTTTTTTTTTGACGAATTTCGGTTTCAGCGCAGCGTGTGGATTTTCATTCCAGTACATGAGTTCATAAGCTTTCTCATCTTTTTCTTACATTCGGATGGGTGTGGTTTGAGTACCAGTGTTCTAAGAGTGACAACAGCCTCCCATCTGGTTAAGATGTTTAATCAACAACATTGGTCTATCTTCATGACTTGGACACTATTATCCGTGTCGTATCCTGTAGGCTACTTGGTGATTTAAGCAAGTCTTCGATTCATGATCCTCATAATCTCCTACAACGGGTATCTGACTTGCAAAGCAGATGCTGCTTGTCTTCATAATATCATAGTTTGTAAATGCTTGACTATCTAGAAACAAGCTATGTCCATTCAGAAGCCAAACATGCGGGATACTTTTCGTTTGAAATCAATGGACTTGACTTTGCGCCATTAACACCACCCAAGAATAGAACATTTGAACAGTCTTGATAGACCGTGTATATCAAGAAAGGGAAATATAGAACTGCCTGAGCATGGTATCGAAGACAGGTGGGTACCTGCCGGAATGTAGAGGAAGTGCTTGAGGTCAATTTAGACAAGGAGAACCCTATTGTAGGTTAGTCTGAGATGTACCATGTAAAAACGCAATTATCAAAGGCAACTCACGCATTGACACAACCGTCGTTCTCAGGGGTGTTGGTGACCTGGGCCCATTTACCCCAGACAACCTTACCGGAGGTGGTAACAAGACCCAACTCGGAGACGTTGACCTCAATGATTGTTCCCTTCGTCAAAACACCCAGCTGAGTATAGAGAGGGTTCTGGGGGTTTTTCTTGACAGACAGGATGGGCAGTTGCACAGTGACAGCCAGCTCGGGACTGAAGAAGAAAAAGTCAATATACCATGTCCAAACAAAATAAACTGGAGGCTGGGCATTCTCCCCCCAAAGATGAGACATACTGTGTAACATTACACTTCTTGTAACGCAGACCCATGGGACGAATGAACCGCTCGTACTTGACGGGACGACGGGTGAAGTCGTTACCAACGAAAGTAGGCTTGGTGATCATCCGCTTCCAAGCCTTCTTGTGGGTCTTCTTTCCGGTGTTGACAACCTTGAACATCTCCTCCTCGCTAATACCCTTGACCTTAGGCAAGGGGACAGCAAACTTAGCAGCCTTCTCATTACGCTTGTTCTTGATAGCACTGGAGAGGGCCTTGGCGTTGGTCTCCTGGGAGCGGTCGAGCAGGTACTGGGGCAGAGGAGTCTTCGAAGGCTCATCAGGTGCGGCGGACTTGACGTTCTTCTCTTCCTGAGCCTTGATGCGCTTCTTCATTTGAATCTTCTCCTTGTGGCGATTCTGCTGGTACAGCTTGGCCCGCAGACCACGCAGGTTCTGGGCATCGTGAGACGCCTTGTGTCCCTCACGAGCCTGGCGCTTACGCACGCGCTCATCGTGATCAAGGCGCTTGCCGTGCTGCTTTTGCCAGCGCTCGATATACCTGGTAGAAAAATGTCAGTTGGAGATTGGGCGGTGGCTGGCGGGGGAGAGACGAACTCGTTCTGAGGCTGTAGGTCGGAAAAAAAGTTAGCAAATGCGACAGTGGAAATTAAGAGGACAGGATATCATTAGGAGCTTACCATGATGGAGGACGAATGAACAACACGAAGTGAATGGGTGATGAAGTTCTTGCCTTGAAGATCTAATCGAGACCGAAAAAGTTGTGATGCGGGAAAAGATAGCGAGGCACGTGATGCTCCTTATCGGCAAGGTCCTTTTCGAGTTCTTCAGCTTGAACAAATTGAAAAAAGAAACCCTGAAGACTGGTGAAGTTGAATGTTGAAAATCACCAATTTGAAACTAGCACATGCAATTTACTATCACCGTGCTCGCAGTTTCTCGCTGCAAGTCTACCTCTTCAAGTCAGGCAGGATTATCACGTGACCTTACGGGTGACAAAGCGGCCATTTGCGCAAGTAGTGAATTTCTCTAGTTACGGGGAAGCCGCTCTTCTATCTTAAATTTCAACCACTGTGAACCACTTCCACTCTCGATCATTGAGCACTGGAAAGTTCAGTCAACATGTTCTCACGCTCTGCTCTACGGAGCCTCGCCTCCGAACTGCGCTGGACTGCGCCGTCTACAATCTCATCCGCAGCTCCCCTGCAGCAACGAGCGTGCCTTCACCAAACTGCATCCTTGATGAATTCGCCACAACCCCAGAGCCAAGCGGCTTCTAGCCATCCCGAATCACCTCTCAGCGCCGCTCCCCGGGCTCAAGATACCCATGCAAAGACTCACCAGGGCGTCAAGGCCTCCACTTTCGACGAAAACACCATGACACCCCAAACACGCGCACACGTTCCCATTGCAAAACAACCCGTTGCCCCGACTTTCACCTCCCCTCTCCAAGTGACAAAATCTCTTATGTCACAGCTCCCCCACCTTGCAGGCCAGAAGCCACACTACATTGTCGCTCAACTGCACGCACGACCATACCTCTTGACCGAAGGTGATCACATCCGGTTGCCCTTCCTCATGCCCAAGGTCAAGGCAGGTGATATTCTGCGATTCAATCGTGCCACCGCACTTGGATCCCGTGATTTTACAATGAAGGGCACACCGACTATCGACGAGCGTATCTACGAATGCCGGGTCCGTGTGACGGGTGTGGACGCGGAGCCGCTCCGCATCAAGGAGAAGACGAAGCGGAGACAAAGGCATGTTAAGCAGGCAAAGAGCAAGCACCGTTATACGCTCATGCGTGTCATGGATGTGCGGGTGAAGACACCGGATGAGTTGTTGGCGGAAGGCGCGGTGGTCGTGGAAGACTCTGAGGACAGCTCAGTAATCGAACCCCGGTTATAATTTGGTTGTTCGGTGTTTTGAGTGAAGCTTTTTTTAAGGCGCAAATGTGATGCCGGATATGATCTAGCAGTGGTTAGATGTATTGACAGTCCTAGTCGAGATATGGTCTGATCTTGGGGCTGTTGGTAATTTTCTTGCCGCTATGCATTGATATATTTGCGGCATCTTGTACAGATAGATCGATTTGGGCTGTTCTCTGTATGCATTGTATTCTATAGTATTGAACTTTTTCAGAAGATCTCTTATTACCAAGGTGGTGTAGGCGCCATTAAATAGATAGAGGCTTTTCCCATTTTAGTTCTTGGGCCAGGCATTTAGTTTAGATTTGATTGTTTCGTTGAAACACATCTCTGGTCCGTAATAGTGTCCGTTTTCCCGGCAGATATCTAATCCGTCACCTTTTAGCATCTCTCTATATCTTTTGCCAGGTGTGGGGAAAGGCACCAAGGAACGAACCAAGACAGTCATATACAACTAGGTAGGGGTATCACACAGGAAGATACCACCCCTGCAGCACAAACAAGCCCTAGAATATATCTGTCAAGCAAATGAACTGGCAGCAGAAATGGGTCAGTTCTCTTATTCGTCTATTTTTGTTGGACCGTTGTTGTCACGGTGTGAACCGTAATGCTTAGTAAAAGGAAGATCACGACACGTGATCTCCGACCTGTTTATCTTGAACTTCAGTTCTAGATCCTGTTGTAGCTCTTCGAGCTACGTCTTGTATATTAGCCTGCCCCTGCCTGTACCTGCCTGTCAATGGGAATCTGATCTGTTACGACCTGTCCCTGCCAGTCATCTCCTATCATACCGTCCTGCCAGCCCGCACCCTGACAGTTGTGTTCACCCGCTATGCTATCGGAACGGGGAGATAGAGTACTAGGAAATCGAGGAACATGTTTCCAATACCATTCCAACGGAAGCAGCAGCATCAAATCGTAGCTGGTCATGGTAGAACTTTCTTCATCTAATATTGGAGGTCTGCCGTACCAAAAACGATGCTCCGAAAAAGAAGCCCGACTAAGAGACAATGAGGGGGATAGACACCGATGGAAGCTCAATCCTCGAGGAAGGGTGGATGCCTTATAGCCCTACAAACTCTGGCGGGGGACTAGGAGGCCCGGAAGGCATATATGTAGGCATTATAGAGGAAGCTACCAAAGATTTTGTAAAGGTAGCGCCGATTATAGCGAAGTTTGTAATCGCGTTAGGACTCCTAGGATAGATTTAGTTGGTGGACTTAGTCGCTATAAATAGGGAGAAGGGGTAGGGGACAGGAATTATATAAATTTGAATATATCTAAAATGAAATGAGATGATACGAGGACTAGAGAAATAGGATATGCAATAGAGTAGCTAGGCGCTAGGCGCTAGGTCCGCTAAGGTTACCTTCTGAAAATATATTTTGAGAATCTTTACTACTGACGAAGACAATAAAGTATAGAATTATAACCTAAATCTATTTAGATACGATTTGCTAGAGTATAAGTAAAGCTAGTAGTCCTCGTAAGATAGGGACTCGATGACATATGGAGCCGGGAAAAGAGAGAGAGAGATGAAGAAGTAGAGATGAGAAATAAAGGCGTAAAGGGTCTGTTGTAGAGTAAGAAAAGGGGATACTCTGCGCCCGTAGGGACCACGGGAAATTATCTATATTAAGTCGATAGCTACTTTCGTCGTATTTAATATCTTTCATCTTGTTTAAATCACGCTGGTCGGTTTGTAGCCTTACTTTTTAGGTTGTAGGACTCGAGAAATCGAGTCCTAGTTATAGGGTGGTACATACTAGGGATTCACCATCACTTGTCGTGGGGAGCGGGATGTGGGACGCAACCCCCGTAAAGCAGCATGTGTATATAGTAGCGAGCTAGACCGGGTCAATGAATTCATCATCATCAACGATTGGAGGTCTGGAGAGATTCTCGTTTAGAATCCCCCCCCCCCCCCCCCCCTCCCCCCCCGAATATTGCACAAGGTACATTCGCACTTGGTTAGCCACCCTGTCTCTTCCTCCAGCGAGAAAGCGCAACAAAAGCCTATGTCACTTGAAATGGGTGGCACAATACAACCTACGCACTCTACGGGTCAATGATCCTCCTACTTCTCATTCTCTCGAACTACCCAGCCCTACCAGGCGACGGGGACTTTTTTCTTCTCACTATTCAACAACGGCGCACAGACTCAGCCCGGCTGAATGCAGACAGGGATGCTGGATGTATAGTGTCTCCAAGTGTTTTGGAAGATTCTGCGTTTGGGGGTGGGTATAGCTTCTCCTTCTTTAAGTAGAAAGTAGACCGGGCGTGGGCCATGCGTGACTTTCTTTCACAAGGAAGATCTCTTCCATCTTGTTTTCAGGGACTATACATCGAATGTGTTGTCACTGACTTCAGAGTCCCCATAGACAACGCTGCTCGGTTCCCATTGACTGGGGTTTTCAGTAAACACTTCGATAGCCCATTCATTCAGCCAGGAGACTGTTTATCAAGCGAGCATTGCCTTCGAAGGAGATTCCTACTACACATAGGGTCACCGCCATCGTCAAAAGAATAGTATCATAATTCATCATCCGATCTATATACACAATTCCTGTCTAGATACATCGGCGAAAAAAGAAAACCCAAAAGCAAGCACCAAGCATAGTCTGGTCCAATCCAGATATTCCAAAGCTAGGATAATTCCATCGTCACAACGTAACAGGTTTTAGTCCGCTGCGGTGCAAGCAGACCCAGTGCATGAGATACATGCACCCATAATCAGAAATTTCAAATAAATCAAGCGCTTAATCTCAGAAAATCAAGCACAAATTCCACAGAAAACGCCGGGGGGAGAAGAGGAGTCATGAGAAGACATCAGGCGGAGTCAAAGGCTAGAAAGGAGGTAGGATGCGAAGTCGGGAAGGAATTGGAAGAATATGAAGAGAAGAGATGGAAGAGTGGACGTGATCACAGGGGTGCCATAGAGGCCATCCCCTCCCCATCGTCCATATCACTGACAGACGTAGCTGGCGACGCAAGCCCCGATATAACCGAGCTTGAAGCCCCCGTGCCGGCGGCATCCATCATAGCATCATCGTAAGAGCCAAGCGCCGAAGTCGGCATTGGCGGCGCATTCTTGCCAGATAACGCCATGAGCTCCGCAATCCCCGGTTTTGCGGGGACGTGCTTGTGGAGTGCGGTGGCATTATCAAGGCTTTGCAGAGCAAAGCCCATGAATTCGGCATTCTTGTGGCTGACACCTAGAGTCCAGCGGTATTCACACAGCCGGACGCGGTAGAAATCTGCTTCCTCGTTGGTCGGGGCGGTGATCCGAAGGAGCATGCCGAAGGAGCCAATAAGGGAGAAGTTGGTGCGTGCGGAGGCAGGCCAGAAAGAGCGGAGGTGAGCGGGGCGGAGGCGATTGACAAAGTCCATTGCCGAGATCAGGCGCGTTTTTGCGGCAGAGCGGCAGATGTGCGCAAGGTACTGGTCTGTGCCCTCGGCGAGGAGGGAGCGGACGATGCAGCGGTGCAGCGTTATTTCGGTGGCAAAGTAGGCAAGGTGAAGGGCGCCGTTGCGGGCGTGTTCGTCTGTTATTGTTTCGACGAGTTCGCCGGTTGAGGTTTCCATCTTGAGAGATGGTGGAAGGGAGGAGAACCAATCCTTAAGACGGATTTGGGCAGGTTTGGCCTTTTCTAATATCATGCGTGTACGCTGGTTTCCAGCGGCGGAGAACTCTTCAATAGCGTGCAATGTGTAGAAACGGTCGAGGATGTCGGAGAGGATGGTTGTTAGTGCGACCATGTGGCAGAAAAGAAGAGGGCCGTGGCCGACAGCAGTTTCATCGTGTGAGGAGTCAGTGCCGGAGGAAAAGGCGTCCGAGAAGTCCTGCTCCACAAGATCCTTGACAGTCCAGTTGAAGGCGAAAATGTGCGAGGGTCGACCGTGCACCAGCGACGACCATTTATCCTGCATATACAAAGCCCACGCGAGCCGCTTCCGCAAGCCCTTCTCCCACGTATCCATACGCCAGTTCGTGCAGTCCTGGTGCAGGCCCAGCTCAAAGGCGGCCGTGACCAGCTGACCATTTAATGATGCTGTAGCGAGAGTCGACTTCTGTGTCAGCAGAAGCCCGGCTTGTATAGTCGAGACACTGGGGAATTGTAAAGAGTCCATCAGCAGCTTCAAGGCCGAAGCCTCTAGTCGTGCGGCATCGGGTTTGCGCGCGGTTTGCGAGGCGGCACCGACGTCGACGAACTTCAATGTCAAGACGTAGACTGCGGCGAGTAGTAGCGGTGAGAGGCCACGGCGCTCACGGTATGATTGGCGAAACACATCCTCTATCAGAATCGGGAAGGAGGGATGTACATGGTCAAAAAACTTCTCGATCAGGGTTGACCCATAGGGGGCGACCAGGCTCTCAATAACGTCGAGCGACACAGCATGTGAGTCACCGCCAGGCACGGTATCGATAACGCGCATGAAGGTGCCATCGTCGGCACATCTCCGCACACGTGAGTTGGAGACTGTGCATTCGTCGTATTGGTCAAGCGGAAGATAATCCAGCAAGGTTGGTTCCAGCTCAGTGGTCATGCCGATATGTTGGGTTGACTGGTTGAAGAACCCGGGGCGAATCATGCTCACTGCTAACGAGTGAGACTCGGTCTCCAGAATAAGTTGAGTCGATTGTATTGTTGAGGGTCTGGGGGTTGTTAGGGCGCAAGTTCTATCTATACATGCAGCTGAATTATATCCCAAGCCGGTTGGAATCTCATACCGCTTAATTGCTTCTGTGGGCTCCTGCCCCTCATCCAATTTTCTTTTCTTGGATGTAACCTCGGATTGGGATGTGAGGCTGAAGGTACAATCCTGGCGATGAAAATCGCATGAGTAGCATTTGTTGACCATTTCGTTCATGGCACACCTGCTCTTTCTGCGGAGACAAGCGTCACAGCTAGCTCCATTCCGTACGCGGGGAAGAGTCGAGTTGATGGAGATGGGCGATGGGGAGAGCGTTGGGGTCGAGCCAGTCTTTCGGCGGAGATCAGGGGAATGGGCTTGGGAATAGCCCGAAGGCTGGATAGTGATAACGGTAGCCATGTGGACCGGAACTAGCCCTGGAGGCACGATAATCGGGCAAATAGGAAGGGAGATAGGAACTGTGATAGGGTCTTAACGGAGTTTACTCCAGAGGTGTCACTCCGCAATCTATAGAATCTTATTCAAGATCTCTCTTTTTCTGGATACTCAGAGTCAGTCATTGGATGAGATCGTGATAAGAGAGACACATACGCTTATCAGACCATTTAAAAAATAGTCGGTTATCTCCCAAGTTCACGATAATCCAAAGCCGGCACCGGAGATCAAAAAGAGATGTATATCAAGCAGATGAACCTGCAAGGGATTGCATCAATATGAGATGCCGAATAGTTCGCTCCGTCATTCCTACCCGTCAAAGATCTGGGGAATAGAGTGAAGGAGAAAGAGAGAGAGAGAGAAAGAATGAATTCCATGATGACATCGATCTACGATCTAATAGGTAATATAAACCCTTTAATACCGAAAATGTTGTCACATTCCCGAGTACCAGACGCTCAGCTTTTTGCTCTCGTAACGAAAACCTCTTTAAGTTAAGCAGACCGGACAATTATGACACTCTAATTGTCACAGATAAGCTGGCTCTTGCTGATTGGTGCTGAAACCAAACAGTGCATTACGTACTGAATATCCTTAGGTCATCATTTTCACCTACATAGGTTGTAGGTCTGCCTGGTTGGGAGATGGATCAAATAGTTAGATAATGAGAACTTATAACCCGATTCCGATTTTTTCAAGATCAATGAAATCTCACCTTTTTTCCCGCTTCCATACCCCAGGGATTGTCTTCCTGCATGACCAAGTGGCTTTCTGACTGGTCGAGTGAGCAGTGTACCTAGGATCTCCCGGGCCAATCACCGCTCGGTGATAACGGCTCTACACCCAACCAATCACAGCATGTCCCATCCTACGCAGTAGCTCCCGAGGAACGCTGCACTCAAACTGTGGGGTGAACATAATGTGGAGGGAAATGCCAGCCTATGTGCACTCTATGCACTCTATGCACTCTATGCAGATCGAGTACCTAGCTGTGTTTGACTGTGCAATCTGATATGTAATGACGTTCCAAAATAGGACGTTTCTAGCTTTGCAAATGCTACCGAGGTAGTCCCCGGAGTGGAACACCCCGGAGTCCAGGATACGTTCCCCGGCACATGCTATGTCCCGACAACATGCTTTGGTGGCAAACAGAGCACGGAATTGGCCATACGGAGGCCTAGAGTGTGTAAAAAGAAATTAGCTGCAATGGTTGGCCCGGGAAGGTTTCTACTCTGAATCATCAATTTCCCCATATGTACCTATGGTATGTCAATCCAAGGTTGAATTCCTGCCCCCCTCCAAACTGAGAAAAATGACGCCTTCAAACTCCTTGCTCCGAAAAATGAGGCACCGACGGTGAAAATGCGATCGACTTGTGGCGTGTTACTTTTTTACTCCGTGAAGTTGCGCAGCTTGGTCAACTCATCCAGCAGCTCTTGCAAATCTCCATCCGAGATCTTATTCTGAAGACTCGGAATGAGAGACTTGGCCTCCTCGGCATTGTCGCAACACAGACTACCTGTTCAGACGAAGACTCAAGTCAGTGAATCTGTGGTTACCATTTCTTTCTTTCAACAGTGCTATCCTGGTACAAGCACCCTGGATCGGATTATGTGTGGGCTGGTGGGAGGAGGGGCAGTGCAAAGCAAAACTAACCCAGCTGCGACCGCTCAAACATCTCCAGCTCTGTGTGAGAGTTCAAAAGGCGTTCAACTGCCTTGATGTTCTCCTCGTCCTTGAACCGGGCAAAAACATCCAAGTAATCCAACGTTTTGGTCAAATTCCTATAGAAAAATACAGGTAAGCTTTCGATCTCGACATCGAATGGGATCTGTGGTCCACTTACTCCGGCTCTTCGTATTTGTTGCCCCCGCGCCGCTTGTTCTCCAAGACCTTGTGGATAACGAGTCGGGCTTCTGAAAGTGAGAGGGTGTGCGTGTGCTGGTCAGCGCCCAGCTTGAGCGTAGAGGCGGCTTCGAGCTCTCCTTGCGGCAGCGCGCGCTTGCGGTGCGTGGGTGGGGGCAGTTGGACGCTCATTGTATGGGTTGAAGGGCGAAATTTCGTAGATTTGGGTATGCAGCCCAGTGCGTCTGAACTGCAGATATTGGTGAAAAAGACTTGCCCAAAGCTACTTCGTTGACGCAGTGCATATGGTGCAAAGAAGATGAGGTGACTTGTTTGGCGCGACGTTGATCTCTGCAGTTTCACTTCCGGCATTTCAAGGCGGTGACGCTGTTACCGCCTCTCCCTCGAGACGTAAAAAGCCGACGGGGAAACAGAAATCGTCGTATTTATTTTATTACTACCGATAATATAACAAGAGTTGTTTCTTAAAGTACCAGAGTCTTATTTTTTTGGTTCATGGAGCAAGTCCTATGCCTCATACACAGCTATGCAACAACTCTATACCTTCCGAAAAGCAACATCCCGCGGCAGACGGAAGCTAGCACAGAACATCTGCTTCTTGGGACTAACCAGCCTCACATTGTGAATGGCGAGTTCTACCTCTTGATTACCCTTGCCTCCCACACAGTCGTCGACAGCAATCTTGTGCCCGATACGCTCAGAGATTCTCTCGCAGATATCGATGTGATCATCCACCTCGTTATCTGAGTGTCCCGAGAAACAGTAAACATGGACCATGGGCAGTTTTTGCTCCGTATTGGGCGCAAACATCTGTTCCTCGCCAGCATAGAGCCCGGGGAAGGCATCGAGGAATTCAATGGCGGTAGCAGGCAGGTTCATGACATAGTGATTGACGATGGTAGGACGGGTGTATTTCTTTGGCGCGGGTAGCGGGCTCCCGCTACCTTGCGCAGCCTTACGCTGCTTCTCCCTGCCTACCTTGGGGTGGATAGTAACAGTAAGAGGCTTCGCGTTCAGCAACAAATGACCCGAGGAACGGATAAACTCCCGGCCATCCTGGTTGAAAGGGGTAACGAAATCTTGCACCTTATTACGTGTAATTGCATCCTGCATGACTTCAAACCCATGCGGGTTGAGATCGTTGGCCCAGACGAAGATCTTCTTCCGGCCCGCTGGCACAGCGAAGGGGCCGACGCCGGCCATCACGTCGCAGACCATTTCGCTTGGCTCAAACTTCTCAACCAGGCGGCGATGCTCAGTTTCTAGGCGGCTGTTCCAGTAGACGCGGGCATAGTCGAATCGGAACTCACAGTCCTGCTCGTGCTGGATGACGTTTAGGTCATTCTCACCAGCCAGCAGTTCGAATGGGAAGGTGCGGAACTGGCTATGAGAGCCGACATCTTCGGTCTTATTGATGACGGTTCGAACAGTCGGGTTCTTGTCCATCAGAACCTCGGCAAGTATATGCTTATATGGGAAGTATTGGGCCCGAAGGTTTAGATGCACTGTTTCGTTAGTATTGGATTTAAAGCCAGTGACTCAGACAAACATACAGACATGCCCCACTTGAGTGAAGCCTTGAGGGATCTCTTCCATGAGTTCCTCCGGTAGAATCGATGAGATAATCTCAGCTATAATAATGTCAGCATGGAATATTTAGCCCAAGAGAGAACACAATGACAAGCATACCGTATGACCAGTAGTCATATTCCAGCAGCAATTCATAAGGCCCCAAGGCGACCGTTCCCTTACTTACGAGCTCGTTGATAGTAGATGACCATGTTTCCCTATCTATAAACTCGAATTAGAGCTAAAAATCAATGTTACGGCCAAAATATGCCCAATGAACCTACCGTCAAGCTTCAGGTCTTCGCGCAATAGCATAGCCTTCCACACCTTGCCATCTTGATCCTTCACCTCGCGGATAGGGCTAATGCGTGGCAATGCCAGGATGTCACGGCTCTTGACCAAATCCTTCCGCACGTTTGAAATATCGCTTGTTTTAAAAACCCGGGCGACAGAGAGGGGCACGTGTCTTCGGAAAAATGACCGGTCGAGTGTACGCATGGCACGGTTCACAGGTGGTCGAAACATGGCAGGGGTCTCGTTGAGCGTAGCCTGCTCGGAAGTTGGATCTGTCGGTTTCATTGGAAGTGGAGAGTGTTTAATTTTGGCCTGTTACGGATTGTCTCCTTGGGCGAAGCTCGAGGCGCATTGCGGCGCGATAATTTATCTCTTATCGTTCACGTGACATTCTTATCTAGATCTAGCTTGGAAGCACATGTGGCATGGGGAACAAGATGTGTCGGAATCAGTCTTTAAAAGATCTTGGATATTAGTTGTGCGATGTTGACTTCGAGGAATATCTGAACAATGGTGAGTGCTCATTTAGGGAATAGTGATCGGTTTTGTTTCTCCCCTATGCTGCAGTTTTTTGCATAAAAGGACATGTCCTCTCTAGTATTTGCTATGTCTCCTCGCAGATCAACATTACGTGTCGGGCACATCGTAAACATGTCATGCTAACTTTAAGATAGGCTCCAATATGGCCATAGATTACGTCACTATATGCCCCGTCAAACTGCACAGGGATCTTCTTGGTCGAGCGGTGCTAGGCCGAATTCTCAGGCTGAATAGTGGGGTGGAAGCATCGTTTTTATTGGACTGATAAAGCTTTTCAGATTTTCTCATTCTTGTATGCTGGGTTTGTCCATTAATGATACAGGCTCAAAATTGCCCTGCTTGTATAAAATGTCGAGACGATTACACAATAATCGCAGATCGCAAGGCTAACAGATAATCGTGACAGTTCGTAAGATAGGTGGCCCAGCTGAGCCAAAATTATACTGAATACCTGACTAACATTCTCTGAAATTAATGCTGTTAGTCTCTGCTGCTTGTACAATCCAAATTGCCCCTTCAATAGGGTTTCATCCCCTCAATAAGAGAACGGTCCAGTTCCCTTTGGGCTTCCAGATTGGAAACGCGGTGTTGCAGCTTGTTAATTTCGCCATCTTTCTTCTTTAATGCCAGCCGCGTCAAATCTCGCCCACGAATGATTCCTTGCGTCTTCAAGTCCTGCCGGTCAAGCAGCGAGACCACCTCATCATGCGCTTTGTTTGGTAAAACAACACTGTGCTTTTCCAGAATAGCAAGCAGACTCTTCGCAAGATCTGAGGTGTCAAACTTAGAATCTGCAGAGAGGACGTCGTTGTATTTGCTAGGTGTAGGTGTCATACATAGTTCCGCGGACGAGGGAGGAAACATATCGGTGCGGGAGGAGCGGGAGGAGAATGGCGTCGCTGGTGCAGACTGATCATAGATGGAATTAAAATTGGTGACTTCCGCCAATTTGCGCTTGCCGGGTGAGGTAACCGCGGCGGTGCGGGGGGTCTTGAACGGGGATTCGGGATAGAAGTTGGGTTGTGAGATGAAGCCCTCGGTCTGGCTAGAAGAGAGTGCCTTGAAAAGCTCATCATTTTCATCCGAGTCGTTGTTCCAACCAAAATCATCCGACGCTTCTGAAATCATTCTGGCCTTGGCTGTCTTTGGGGGCGACTTGAAGTTGCGCTGTGGGGTATCGATGAATCTGCGCTCAGTTTTTGGAGTGAGTAGTCCGTTGTTCATACGTCCTGGAGTCCGTCTTGATGGCGTAAGCGAGATAGGGTCGAGCTCAGATCGAGAGTTGGCTAGAACGGCTGCTTGCTCACGCATTGTAGCGTCATCTGCCCACAGGAAGAAGCTGCATTTTAAATGTGACGGTTGCGCACAAGTCCAAACTATTTTATGATGTCAGTCAGCCACTTTTTATCATACCCTTCAAGCATCATCCAAGGCTTCGGGAGCAAGATTCGACATACACCATTTCCCGAAATTTGGTCCCTGTTTCTTAGTTTCACGGCGAACGGCGACAGGACGTTCTGGGCAGTTGCAACACCAAAGACCATCTTTGAAGAGACCACGGCGTAGAGGCGCCGTAGTTCCTGGTGAGCCGGGGAATTTCTGAGGTGAGGACATTTTCTACAGTTTTCCCCCAGATGTTGTTCGCGAAGGGAGGTGAACGTTGTCGCCATGGAAACTGGCTTATCTTATCTGGACTCCACGAGGTCTTGGCATTTTTGAGACATTTCATCCCCAGGTGGATTCTCACGCTATGACTAGAATTTAGGATATGGAGAACAATCCGAGATAATCTCGCCTTGTACTCCGTATATTGATTCCGATTTCAGATGACCTCATATACTGGTGATGCTGATGGTCTGCACACATTCAAGGCCATCATTATCAAGAAGCATCTTCCCACGTCAATCCTCCAAGCACACCCAAGATCCAGCCCTCGTGATTCGACAAAATGCATACACCATGTGTAGACCCACAGGGGCCACTCTCAACCCTCCCTAAAGAACTATACCTCGCAATATCCGGTTTCCTCCCATCACTATCAGGCCTAAATGCCTTCGCCTGCACTAATGCCACAACCTATGACCTCCTTAACAACATCCTCTATAAGCGCGATGCAACCTCACCAAATCCAAAATCTCTCTTCTGGGCCTCAACAACTGACACCCCCCAACAGCCCTAAAATCTCTCTCCGCAGGCTTCGATATTCAATCAAAAACAGATGCAGACCCACGGCTAAAGGGCTGCACCCCGATCATGTTAGCCGCATTGCACAATAACATCGCAGTACTAAACTGCTCCTGCTAAACAACGAAGCAAACCCAAACACCCGCGACAGAAAATGGATCCGCCCACCGCTGTCCTGGGCCGTCAAAGAGGGCCACCCAGCCATAGTGCAGACCCTGCTGAGTGATGACCGTACAGAAGTCAACTTGCAAGATAAGGTGGGTGATACCGCACTGATGATTTCCGTCAACCACCAGCCCAAGATGATGACGCTGCTTCTCTGTAGCGGGTGGGCGGATCCGCGCGTGTCAAACCAGCAGGGATGGACGCCGCTCAGCCGTGCTGCACGTGAAGTAGATGGAGATGTGGGCTTGCTGCTTGCCAACCATTTGCGGTTGATTCTTGAGGGTAACGATGGTGCTGTGCATTGCCAGCAAGTACTTTTTCTATGCGGCTATCATGGGAAATGTTGACCATGTGCGGTATTTGGTTCAGTACTCTGGGGAGAAGCTTGATCCCAATGCTGAGGGACAGAAGTATGAACGGGGAGCGTTTTCAATTGCGGCTTCGGCAGAGCGGCTGCAAGTTGTACAATTTCTACTAGGGTGGGAGGCTACAGATCCCAATTTGCAGACGCATTGGAAAAGGCAGACGCCTTTATTTGTTGCTGCGGAAAATGGACACGAGCAGATCGTGAGGTTATTGGTTGGATGTGAGAGGGTTGGGTTAGAGATTGCTGATATGCGTGGGACTACGCCGTTGGGGGTTGCGACGGAAAGAAACCACGAGGGGATCGTTAGGCGGTTATTGACTGGGTCTAGACGGGCTGAACCGAATGCTCGTGATGAGAACGGTTAGACGCCGCTGTTTAATGCTGTATTTTATAGCCACTTGGGTGTTGTAAAGCTACTGCTCGAGACGCATGGGATTGATACACAGTTGGATGATACATATGGGAAGACGCCATTACAGGTGGCATTGGAAAATGGCCATCAGCAGGTAGTGGAGGCACTGCAAAGATACGCAGATAGGCTATCATGAATATACTAGTTTCAATAATCATGGCTCGCCCGGTGCGCTGTCCCTGTCATACGCAGCATCTACCGAGTTCTCCCAGCCCCTCAGCACAACCATGAGCGAGCCAGCAAGTGCAAACAAGCAATGGACCGGTGTATAAAATACAATCAGATAGTGGGAATCAAACGGGAGAAGCGATTTCTATGGCGGTATCACAAACGTAGCATAAACAATTCTAACTTCGGAATCTATTCAGCAAGCACGTGCCGCAACATAGCACCAAACGAATCAGCAAGTTTGAGAATCTCCGTAATCTCGGGCTTGATGGGTTCACCCGCGGTACGGCGAAGTTGGTCTTGCTTCTTTGTTCGCCGACGGCGCTCTACGGCGATAGGATCGTCCATGTCCTCATCTCCAGAGTCTTCATCAGAGGCATCAGACGCTTCATCCGAGATGGTGAGGTCCTCGAGATCAGCCTGTAAACCCAGCATTAGCTTTGAAAATCCAAAATCAATTCTGTAATCGAGTGGGTGGAAAACACATACTTCGTCAAGACCAAAATCACTACCCTTGAAAGTTGTAGCTCCTGGAATGGTCTCCCCAGATGTACCTTCAGCAGCCATCTTTTGGCGAGTCTTGTTCAGATGCCAGCGTTTCCGGTCTTCTTGCCATTTGATAAGCTGATTGATTTCCGTGAGAGCAAGGTCTTTGTCGATCTGACCAACTCCAACAGCTCCTTGGAACAAAGCATTAATGTCCATTTTACCTCCGGCGGGGCCATTGCGCAGGAAATCGAGAATCTCTTCGATCCAGCCCATTAGAGACTGGAATAGGCCGTTATCATGCCGGTGCACTTCGTGGATGAACTTGTAGAAGTTTGCCTCGTGGCGAGCGCACAGGTCGATGAAAGCCTGCACTGTTTGGTTCGGATCGGCAGACGCATCCTGGCGCTGGGCACTCTCAATCACACCAATAGCATCTTCGGCGAATAGAGCAAAGTCCGTAATGCTGTTGTATACGTTGGCAGATTTGTAAACCCGGACGAGCGGCTCGTAGAAGATGGTGAACAGATCACGGAAGAGCTGCAGTGTGACTGGCTCCTCCACAATGCTCATCATCATCGCCTTATCGCGCTGGCGAGTGTAAAGCTTCAGAAGCTGTTTCATGTGAGCGAACCATTGAGCGCCCTGTTGCATTTCCAGGTCTACATTCTCCACAGCATAGTTCCAGGCCACGTAGCCGTTGAACACCTTGCCAATCTGGTCCGGTGTGAGTTCAGGTGACAGTAGTTCGGAGCGAAGGATGGCAACAATTATGTCGACATCGTCGGTAACAGCTTCTTCTCTAATCTCATTCTTAATGTCTTCCTCGGCATCCGCGAAGCTCTTGAGCTTCTGAGTAAGCACGGTATCTTCAACCTTTGCAGCCAGAGAATTAATGGATTTTTGGAAATCTTTGATACTTTCGTTTAGTGTTAATGAGAAAATGCGTTGCAAAAGTGACCGTGAGCCGAAGGGCTGGGCCATAAAAAGGTCCAGAACACCGGACATGACTGCAGCAGGATTGGCGATGCGAATCACATTCTTCATTAGCGTGTATGGAACCAGACCATGGATTCTCTTCGCCTGTGCAAACAGTTCAGGGGAGTTGTCCTCAGCAAGGAATAGGTGGTAGATTGTTGCAGCAACCCTATTCATTGTTAGTAGGGTCAACCGCGAGGAAATCAGACAACGTACTCGATACGAAGCCACTCAGCAAATTTCTGATATTGCGGGCTGAGGTCTGCAATTGAGGGCTTCTCCCGGATCTCAGCGAACAGCTTTGTCAATCCATCTGAGATCCAAGTGAGATTAGCAAACCATCTAATGCTGGATGGAGCCCGTGACTTACTGCTCTCCACAATATCCCGCCGGAACCGCTCCATATACACGTCCAGCTCCGCTGCTCGTTGCCTAGCAATCTCATAGAATCTCTTCTGCTCCTCAATCCTCACAGCATCCATGTTTTTCCGTTTCTGAACATCACTCAACTCTTCCTCATTCAACTCAATCGGGCGAGCAGTCAAAAATTCTTCCACGACCTTAGATTCTGCAATACGCTTGTTCTGCAATATAGTGCGCAGGAACGCGCGCAGCGACACACGCTGCTCCTCCCGGTACAGCACAGTCGCCCTCGACACATCGCTCGTTGATGCACGCGGTGACTTCGATGATCGCATTGATCCTCGGGAGATCGACCGCCGGAGTTTTCCTGCGGAAAGAGTTGGCGCAGAGAGCCGATTTTCGGCAACACTCGTGTCCTGTGTGGAGATGGATGAAAGAGACGAGGCGTCATCATCTGCACCAGAGCCCCACCAGCCCGAGGCGGAAGAAGACTTGTTCTTTCGAGGAAGAGGAGGGAGTTGTTTTCCGGGCAGCTCGGTCCTCAGCCTCTTGTGAAGCTTGACAAACTCTCCATATCTCCTCCCAACATGAACCTCCTGTTTGTCGTGGCGACGAACTCGGATAAGGAATTCCTATTATATATGTTGTCAGCAAAAAGAATCCCAGCACCGAAAAGAGGGTGATTTTCAGAATTGAAAAAATTGACATACTGCGTGCTGATGGTATCGCACTGTCCGCTTGACAGAGGTTGTCCGAACAGCGGCCACATTCACATCCCACCCATTGATTGAATTACCCTCGGGCATGTTGGCCAGCAGACCTGAATCCTGAGCACCACGCTCGACTATCTCCATCTCCGAGAACTGGATACGCTCCTCATATCCCGATGCCGTCGGCACACCGGAAACCATCATCAGCTCCACGAGCTTCTCGCATTTCCGAGCCAACTTCCGGCGCTTGGTCTCTTCCAGTCGATCCTCCGAAGACGAGACATGCTTATTGGCAAATGATTCCAAGAACTATAACCCGAACTGTCAGTCACAATCTGTTCCTTCACGGTTTCCATTCAGGGAAGCGAAATACCCACGATTTGAAGCTTGTCCTGCCAGAATTCCTTCTCACGAGCTTGGTCGAGAAATGGGAAATTGCGAACGTGGTGAACAAATATATACCGAAGAATAGGCAGCTCGGAGTCGACTGGTGCGACCTCACCAAATTCCGATCTAAAGGGGGCGCCGAATCGTTGGAGCGCAGTAGGGGAATTTAGTTCAAAGATTTCAGCACGGACTTCGCGGGCGATGAGCTCGCGTTTGAGGTCTGCGCAAATTATCAACACGTCAGCAAATGCGATATTGGAGTGGAAAAACATCATCCCATCCTCCAACTTACAGTGTTCTTGCTTGCCCGTCAAGATCTGGCCTATTGGCGGGGTTGCACCCGCATCTTCCTTACCACTAGGTAATGTGGAATTAGGCGATTGTGTTTCCGGCATGTTGAACGGTAATTCGCCTGCTCACTTGAGAGGGAAACTGGGTCCCTAAGAGATAGAATCGCACAGCCAGTGTCCTAGGTGTTGTGATGAGATTTCCAGGAAGCACAAAATGTGTCTGCCTAAAAAGGCTGGTTGGCGCTACAATCAGAAGCAGCTAAACAAGGCTGAAAAGGACAGAATACTGGGCCTCACAACGGTTTTGTTTCTGTGAAAGGTGAAAACAAAAGCAATAGTGGGGAGGGGCTGGAGCTGAGTCGGAGACGGGAGAGAAAACGATGTCGTCACCTTCCGAAAACACCTGTAGAAGGCTCTGTACAACAGAGACACACCCTCTTTCTTTTCTTTTTTAAATCCGCCCCCAGTTTATTTTTGATCGCCATGACCACTTGACGTAGTCTATCACTCATTGCACATAGGCTGTTGGTTTTGCAAGCCAAGGCCAATTATAGGGTTGCCTATTTTGTTTTCGTACTAGTTCTGTGCCTTACGAGCCGAGGTTTCTCTCGGCAGTGCCATCAGACTACGATGATGAATTCTGGAGACCTAAATTGGGGAATTGGGATCATTCGTGCACTTGGATTGGTAGAAAATTACTTCAGATGGGGCTCGGACCACTTCCTTGCATCTGAGCAATTTATTCGAGCAATTTATCTAAAGCGCTTAGATCATGTGGAAGGAGCCCCAAAGAAACACCGTAACGCAACAGAAAATAACAGAATAAAAGGTACAGGACTTCAGCCGTGCGTGGAATTTGGAGTAGAAAAATTAAGCTAGATCAAAGCTGAAAAGAGTTGAACAACACACAATTCCATTGCTTAGAACATTAAATCCGCTTGAAAAAAAAATAGAATGTGGACAGAGGTACTTGCGAAGATAACCAGGAATCTCACCGTTTCACTTCATGAATTCCAGCTCCATGTCGCGAGGCAGGTAGTGTCCCTGGGGTTGCTGGCCATTCCAGGGCTGCATGCTCTGCAGTACGCGCTCGTGCTCCAGAGAGGGAAACATCTGCGGCTGAGGCTGGTGGTATTGAGCGGAGCGGTCGCTATGGGTTTGCATCCCGGGTTGAGCACCGCGACCCATGTGAGCACCCTGGTTGTAAAGAGTGAAGTCGTTGCCCGCCTGGGCCTGGAGTCCATATTCGTAGCGCTCCGAAAGAGTGTCGCCGACGTTGCAAGAGTCCGGCGAGTACAACATGGCGTTGCCTTGCGCGCCAGGAGAGAGGCCGGAGGGCTTTCCAGAGACATCGTAGGAACAGTGGTTGAGGTTCATTTGGTCGTAATCATTCGAATAACCCTTCATCACCTCTAGGGAATGACCATGGGGGAGCTGCGCAGCCATTGCAGTGTAGTCCTCGTTGGTGGGATAGTCCAGGTTGCTCCAATCTAGGTCAAAATTGATGCTTTCAGTACCGGTAAGCGGGGATCCGTCAAAGGACACGGGTCCCGTCAAGTCGGGAACCGATTCGGCAGACGGGATAGACATGGAGTTCATGGATTGCCGGTGCATCTCTAGAGCGGGAATCAAGCCATTCGGGTCACCGGCTTCAAATTGACTCTGGAAGCCGCTCAGGTTCACTGAAGTTGGGAACAAGTTGATATCAGTCATCAGATAGGGAGATGTTTCCCCAAATAGGGGGAAATCCTCTCCGTGGGCAGGCGGAGGAGGGTCAGCAAAATTGAACTGTGGATTCCCAGGCCAGTTGTAGGTCTGGTCGCTAGGAGAAGGACTGGGCCCGGGGATTGGAGAGGCAAAGTCGGTCGTCTTCGAAGCAGGAGTAGACACACTCGGACTCTGAGGAGTGACCTGGGCAGAAGAGCCTCGCTTGCTGCCATTGCGTCCGTTGTTTTTGGATCGAACGTAAACCCATCCGTGGGATTTCTCCATGTGCTGCTTGCAGTTGCTGGCACGCTTCGAAGCATAGGGGCACTTGTGGAATTGACACTTGAAGAGAGTAGGTTTGTCTGAATGCCTGTCGTTCATGTGACGATCACGTTCTTTCTCAGTGGGCCAACCTTTGGTGTGGTAATTGCAGTCAGGGTACTCGCACTTCCAGGGGCGAGTGTGTGTTTTCTCGTGTTTTCTATAAATGAATAAGCATTTCAATTCTGACAAATCCAAAAAACGACAACTTACGTCAAGTCACAGGGGCGCTTAAAGACCTTATCGCAATCGGCACACTTTTGGTTGATGTTCATGGGAGGAGCATCCTTCTTGCGGCGGGCCATAGAGCGCTCAACGCCCTCATCGACTGCATAGTCAATGTTGATGGTCCGCTTGGCAGTTCCAGAGACATCCGCCTCGTAAGGCTTTCCTGTGGCCATGGAAATTGGCTTTCCGTCTTGCATTATTACAAGTTCGGCAGACTTCCCATTCTTAGACAGACCACCTTCTAGAGTAGCCTTCGGGATTCTATTTTGAATTCGTTAGGTTCCGCAGTCCGAATCAAATAGAATATCACATACGCAGAAGAATTAGACTTCTTGTTAAACTCGGAGCCCTGAGTCGCCTGGACTCGCTCGCGTTCAGCGCGAACCATCGCTGCGTATCGTCGAACCTGTGAAACAAGGTCGAGGAAGTATCCGTTAGTGTAAGGACGATCAGCCGGTAGTCGTTGATCACGATCGTTAAGGTGCGAAGTCGAAGTATGCAAGCACTGAATCGTAAACTCGCAAAAGTTGAGATAAGAATTCCGAGAAGTGGCGGAGTTCTTCGAATGAAGTTAAAAAAAAAGAAATAAGCAACCAGAACACCATTAACCCGCATGATAGAACAATGGATTGACTTACCGGTGCCAACCACAATAGGGTTTTTTCGAGGTCACGCAAACACACGATTTTCTTATTGATAATGCGCTGGGGGACGCTTCGAACCAGTGCGTGGAATGGTTTCAAGCGGGGCTCTTTCAAAATAGGAACAAGCACAAAACGTTCAATCTGTTTGCAGGCGGCCGGGCCTAATTGACGTTTTGGCGACGAACCGCTCTCAAAAGCTGAGATAGAGCTTGTGATGGCAGATTGATTGTCATGAATACCATCATTCACTGTTCATTGTTAGAGCTCAAATAGGAAACAATGGGGGACAAAAACGATTATGAAGTCTTGTAGCATGTGACACCCACCTTTATTTTTTGGGTCAGCGAGCCCCTCTTCGCTACTGACAGAGGTTCCTAGTCCACTGTCGGACTCGTGGTTGTGCTGTTGGCGGGCCTTTTTCTCGTCTAGTGGGATTCGAATGCCACAATCCTCTTCATTTGAGGAACATGGAGAGTTAGACCGAGAGTTGCTGCGTAATAACCCACACTCCAGAGGACTCTCGCCGCCAGCAACCTCCAAGTCCTGGTCTTCGGTGGATTCCAGAGTCAGACGGTCTAGGATGGAAGTCATGCGCTCCTCAGCAACAGCAATAGCTTCCAACGAAGTGGCCGAGCGATGAGGCAGGGAGCGGAAGTTTAAGACAGGGTCGCGATCACTCGATGGAGGAGAAGTTGGGGTGTGGAAAGTCTCTCCTTTCTTCAGGGGCATCTTAGAGTCAGGCGAGTCGCTCGGCAGGGTGGGAAGGGTGGTGTTTAAGACGGGTCGACGACGCGGGTGCACCCGCGATGGCTCAGTCTGGACGGTAGACATAATTGGGCGTAGTACTATATCGACCAAATTTAGCATATATGTTCAGGCAGGAAAGGGGTGGAGAATTGCGGCTGATCGGCCCATCCCATGGCTCACCGGAATGTTGTCCAGATGATTCAAGAAGTGACGTACAGTTGAGTCAGAGATACAAGCCTTAATTTGATGCGGATTATCTCCGTTCTTTCGCAAATAACAGCACGGCTTCTCTTGGATGTCGGCCAAGACTGATTAGAATCAACACACTTGAGCCAGGACAAGACCCTGGAGATCTATCACGACAGCGATCGTTTGATAGTCTTTAAATGAACATGCACTCCTAATCCAACGAGTCGCCGGGGGGTCGGAAAACTTCAAAGCGGGGTTCGACGCAGTGGGGATTAAGAACACCAGCCCAAATGGCTTTTATTCAACGGTAACAATATCCAAAGACGAAAAGAATTCTGAATTCCTTGGACTCAAAATGCTGACGGGGTTGCAATGCTGAGATATAACGTTCAAGATGGGTTTCCAAGCGGTCAGCCCCACTATATAAGAAATCTGTAGATCCTTAGTCTGAAGGCAACGATGAAGAGCAAAATCGAATGGAAAAAGAAGAATCAACCCGAACACAGATGACGGGGGAATAGGCGGATCAAGGAAGAGAAGGCACGGAGGCTCATGGCGTGTTGGATGTCTGCCTGATAGACGAAGACGCTAAGACCGAAATGGTATAGAATGCGAAGGCTGAGCACATTCTACGGTCTATGATTGGCCTTGAAGTGCGTATGTATGGTAAGCAGATTACGGTAACTAAACAGTCCAGCCTTGTAGGTGGTTCCCGGGTGGCCCTCAGCGGGTACTGTACCGTTTCTCCACTGGTTCCACTGGGTTCTTAAAATGGAAACTCGAGACCCGGAAAGGTTCAGATTTCCGTTCAAAAGAGCCTCACATCCAACAGAAAGGCCAGGCAACATCTTTATTTCGTCACTTAATCCCTCAAAAAAAAAACTCCCTCTTTGATTCTTCTAGAGATACACTTAAAGCTGGTGGAGTCAGCATTCTGATTTGCACACATGTTTACGTCACCTATTGCCAGGATCATGCCATAAAATCCGAGCAGGGAAAGGGGAGATCACTAGGGCCACGCTTTTGGCCCCCAATTGACCGGCAAACAAGAAAGAGTACGCCAACAAATTGTGGACACCGTTGACTCTTTTTCAGGCCGTATGCCAGCTCACCCAAGGATACATTCTAGACCAATGGCTGGTTGATTTCACGCCAAATACGAGCTGCACACTTGAGCCTCCTGTCACCGCCTGTCGCACTTGACCGGCCCAATGATTGTGCTTCAATCTTGGTCCTTCTCAGCCTACATCTGTCAGACGAAAACTTGCTCTTTAGAAACACTTTCTACCTGTGATGGTGTGCTGATCAACACTAAAACACATCTGCTCGTATCGACCCCTCGGCTTTGCCCTTGTCCGACTTCTCTTCCCCGATGCACAGCCCACCCGCCCAGTTCATTTAAAAGGGACCGGTTTTCCAAAGAAGTGCAACATATGTGTGTTTAAACCAGATGTCTGTGTCATCTCATCTACTTTACAACTGTACTTGAAACCAGCAGACATATCTACAAGGACCAACAACGCTAACCTTTTTAGAAAATCAAATGGTTCGTTGATCTAGGTTATATGGGATTGACATGGAAGTCTATCCTGGCAAGCCATCCAGGTTAAGTAGTCTAGAGCTTTTTTTTCCCCCACCTGGGCAGAAATATGCCTCATCCACATCACCATCCGTGCGCTCACCCGTCATCGACCTGACTACTCCAGGCTACGATATTATCGACTCGTTATGCAATTTCCTAATAGGTTTATCTAATCATCTGCTGGAAAATGTCGGGCATTCTCTGCTAGAAACTCTAGTACTACGCACGAGTCTACCTTTAGCGGGCTGACAAGCATGTCTCCGACCTCGGGAGGAACCTTCGAAGTCAATTTGGCCGAACTTGTCCCAATGACAAAAAAACCTACATCTGGAGGCTCTCAGATATAAGTTGCCCTGTTCATTCAAATTAGTCAAGACCCTGGGAATCAATTGGAATGAAAACTACCCCAAAAAATGTCAGCCATTTGGAGCTCCAGGGCTTGGGAAGCTGTGTTTTGAGAACGTCATCACAAGCAGATAACAGCCAATGGTACAAGAGCACGCTTGCGACTGGGACCAAGAGAAAGGACATTCACTTCTAAAGATTGTAAGAGCCATCCTACTAAACCAGAGAAAATGCAGCAGAATTATTATGTACAATTATATCCTCTCTATTCATCTGTGCATACCCACTACGAACATGCATACCTGTCAGAATACCAGGTGCAATACATGGTGGAAACCACATGTGACCTCGGTGGATTCGGCTGATCCCACAACAAAAGAATAAAGATTAGTAATCTAGATCCCACACAGATTGCATAAATAGGGATTTTTGTCATTTTTAGTTAGTTAGAGAATTTGATACCTGTCATTTCAACCAATACATTTCATGCAGTCAGATTTCTGTCAATACCTCCCAATCGATTGACCTCGGCTTCGGGATGTGGCAGAATGTCAGGCGGTGCCGAGATGCCTGCGTGTTGATTTCCCCCGGATTCTGGATCTGGCGAACCTCGTCTTCTACCCTAGTAATTCACTAAACCTGGCGCGGGATTCTGTAGAATATCTTCTAATGGGCACTTGTTAAACTATGATTCGGTGATTGCATTCCGTTCACATCTCCATCTCCCCCGCTTCAATTACGGACATCACCGGACAAGACTCCGCATCCATGGACTTCGAACAGTATGGGCAGAGCTCCCAGCAGCCTCGACAACGGAGAAAAAGAGTAGGAAAGCGTCGGATGAACAATAAGGCACCCATCGCAGCACGTTTGGCGCTTGATACCCAGCTGCGGGGGAAAGTCGGCATTTTATCTGAGGATCTAGCGAATGATCTCTTCCAGCAACAGGCCCTCCAAGGTGAGTGTGAAGCCGATTCGACTGTTCTTTAAATTATTTTTGACTGATCCGTCTTCTTTGGACCAGATGTCACGACTTCTGACGATGGAGTGCTTTATGTTGCAATTGCCCCGCACACAACGACTTGTACCTCTGTGGAAGATCAGGCCTGGACGATACTCCCAGTGCGTATCCAGCCAACAGAGAGATCGCCAGTTCCAATATCACACTCAACCGTGTTGTTTCCCGAATCAGCAGACTCACTGCAACCTTTCCTCCAGGCTTTGGGGAAAGTTGACTCGTCAAGCAACTCTCTACAATCACACCGTTTCGTAGACATTCGGATTCTGGATGTCGCCCCAATTCATCTAGATACAATCTTTGTGACGGTCGAGCGACATCTACTTCGCAATCATGATGATGTTCAGAGCAAATTTGGTGGTGGATTCGCGAATGCGCAGGGGCCGAATGGACTCTGGGGGAAGGCGGAAAAGTCCGTAGAAGCCAAAAAGCACTCGAAAAGAGCTGCAGCGGACGACCAAAAACGTCTCACTGCAGCAGTTCGTGAAGCATTGGGAGCTCAGCGCATTGTGCATACCGGAGACGTGCTGCCCCTCCCACTCCCTTCTCATCCCATAACCTACGCGCCACCACCCCCTGCACGGATCTCATTCTGCGAGCCCGTTTCGCAAGGCTTGCTGATGTCAACGACAAAGATTGTGCTTGTCCAGGCTCGTCCTCAAGGACTCCGTGCCCAAAAAACCGTGCCTTCGAGATCTGCGCTTCTGAAGCAGGTGGCCGAGGACGAAGCTGACGACACTTCCAACGAACAATTCTATTCTGCAGCCGAGGACAAACCCGGTGAAAGTGGTACTGAAATGGAAATAGCATCAGCTGCCGATGACTCGGAAACAGAGAGCTCAGCAGGATCTATGAGTGACTCCTCGGATGATTCCCTTGAGGATATGATTTCTCTTAGTGCGCCTGAACTGCCACAGCCACCATCCGGGGTGATATCTTCCTTGGCTTCGGCGACTCCTAGAGCCGGCGCTCGACGATCAGATGGAATCCACACCCCAGGGTCTGTGGCATCGAATTTCACATCGACCACCGTGCGCCCTGGCCGTGGCGGAGGCAAGATCTTCAAGGCGGAGGGTCTCCTGCAACAAGTCCCAAGCGAGGAGCTTTACCCCCGGCCTCGTGACGATGAAGATGTCGACTCCTTTGTCTTTGTAGATATCAGCACCCTCGCCAAGATTGGATGCTTCTCCGGCGATTGGGTCAGAATCGAAGCCGCCGAGGAGCCCCAGCCGAACATGTTCGCTTCCCTCAAATTTCGAGGTTTCAACGACTCCCCTGAAGACTCGGGCGATTGGCGCCCTGTCAAGATTTTTGGTCTTTCTGGTCTTCCGTCCTGCAAGCCACGGTATGCCATAAATCACTCAGGTGAACGCCGGTCCAGTATTTCGCAACGTCTACCCACCAGCTTGATGCCATCGGTTTTCGTTCCCCCGTTGCTTCTTAGTAACATTGAAAATCCTAAGTACCTACGGATCTCTCCTATGACCTTCGCTACTCCTAATGGCTCCTCCAAACTTGGTCTTTTGCATCAAATGAAGAACACTGCTGTTAAAAACCCGCCTTTGGCAAAAGAGGTCACATTGCTCAAGGTTTCAACACCTCTGTCAATGGATCGGGTCCTTCAACCAGCGCTATTTGCAGGATTGAAGCAGTACTTTGAGTCCCGCCGGCGTATCCTCAAAAGTGGTGATTTAGTCGGAATTGGCGTGGACGAAGGACTCGGCAGAGCGGTATTCTCTGGCACCGCTGGCGATGACAGTGCCAGCCAGGAGGAAGATATAACCATCCGGCTAGGCCAAGGTGTCCATGCAAGTAGTACCGGGGCCCGGAAAATTGGCGTTGCTTGGTTCCGTGTCGGGCAGGTAGCCCCGACTGCTGTAGAGGAGCTGGAGGAGACAGGCGAAGATCAGTGGGGTGGAGTCGCTGTACTTGACCCGGCAACTACGCGCATGGTACAGGCTGGGAGTGACGTGAGCCGAGTTCCTGGGGTATTGGGTAACGGGTGGGAGTATTGGCTGGGCGTCAAGATGATACCAAAGAGCGTCCATGATGCACCAACGCCCCATGGCATTGTTGCCGACCCACCCCAGTCCTTTATCCCATTATTGCAACAACGGATCCGTGATCTGATATCTGCTGCCACAAGCCTGCGAGCTATTCAGCTAGGAATGAAGCCTGTCTTCATTCTCCTCAGATCCCAGCAAAGACATATTGGCAAGGCAACCATCGCAACCCGAGCGTGCTCGGATATTGGCCTCCACACATTCCCAATCGATGCGTACGACATATTGACAGAAGGCGGCGCGAATGGTGGCGACATCAAGACTGAGGCATATCTTAAAGCCCGAGCAGAGCGGGCTTTCCACTGTGGAGCAAGCTGCACCGCACTGCTGATCAGGCACATCGAGGTTCTAACCGCTGATCGCATTGTCACTGCAATGAGCGAAATTTTGAACGATGCCAGAGTTGTCATTGCCACTACTACTGATGTTGAAACTATCCCCGAAGGTATCCGCAGCCTCATCACCCATGAGTTCGAGATGGGTGCCCCGGAGGAGAAAGAGCGTGAAGGTATTCTACGAAATGCCGTCGCAGAGCGCAGTATCAGACTGTCTGCGGACGTGGAACTGGGCACCATTGCTCTGAAGACCGCAGCTCTTGTTGCAGGAGATCTGGTTGACGTCGTGGAACGAGCTGCCGGAGCGAGAACAGCTCGCCTCGAAAGCCTGGCCGAAGCGAGCAAAAAGCTTTCCGGCTCAGAGGTATTTGTCAGAGACGTTCTGTTGGCAGGAGGCGACAGTGCACGAGGTGTTACCAAGGCAGACTTTGACGCTGCTGTAGAAGCTGCGCGGAAAAACTTTGCGGATTCAATCGGGGCACCTAAGATTCCGAACGTTGGCTGGGATGATGTTGGTGGATTGACCAACGTTAAGGATGCCTTGGTCGAGACCATTCAATTGCCGCTCGAGCGACCGGAGCTTTTCGCCAAGGGCATGAAAAAGCGCAGTGGTATCCTGTTCTATGGCCCGCCTGGCACCGGAAAGACCCTGCTCGCCAAGGCCATTGCCACCGAGTTTTCTCTCAATTTCTTCTCCGTCAAGGGCCCTGAACTGCTCAACATGTACATTGGTGAATCCGAGGCAAATGTGCGCCGGGTATTTCAGCGCGCTCGGGATGCTCGTCCTTGCGTTGTGTTCTTTGATGAGCTGGATTCTGTTGCGCCCAAGCGTGGCAACCAGGGAGACAGCGGTGGTGTTATGGACCGTATCGTCAGTCAGCTGCTTGCAGAGCTAGATGGAATGAATGGCGGCGAAGAGAATAGTGGTGGAGTATTTGTCATTGGTGCGACTAATCGTCCCGATCTGCTTGACACTGCACTTCTCCGCCCTGGTCGCTTCGACAAGATGCTCTACCTTGGCGTGTCAGATACACATAGGAAGCAGGCGACTATCCTTGAGGCTCTGACGCGGAAGTTTGCTCTCAGCCCCGATGTCTCGCTTGACCGCGTTGCGGAACAGCTTCCTTTGACATATACTGGTGCTGATCTATATGCGCTCTGCTCTGATGCCATGCTGAAAGCCATCACTCGAAAGGCCACTGCGGTCGACGAGAAGATCAAGACTCTGCCAAATGGTCCTGTCAGCACTGCTTGGTTCTTTGATCATCTTGCGACGAAGGAGGATGTGAATGTGATGGTGACCGAGGAGGATTTCCTGTCTGCTCAAGGGGAGCTTGTGCCAAGTGTTAGGTATGTGTCCACTCCCCTCCCCTGTCCCACACTGCCTCCTGTCTTCTTCTTCGCGAAATACCATGATACTGACCCCCCCACAGTGCCAAGGAACTCGAACACTTTGAGCGCATCCGCCAAACCTTTGAGGCAGTGGACAAGTCAAAGCAAGACCCCGCTGCTGCCGCGCCACAGACAATCGCGGAGGCAATGGAGGCATTCAACCTGAGCGGCTCGGCCACACCAGCAGAGATACCTGCCACAAATGATGACAGTCACACAGCCGGGGGTATTCCCGATCGTATCCAAGGCCGGCCAGGCAACCTTGACCGCAGCACCGGTGGCCAATCAACAACCAGTCGCAAAGGTAAAGGAAAGAGCACCAGCAAGAAAGGAAATTCCCATACCGATGCAACATCGGATGGATCTGTTGATGGCGACGATGAGGATATGGCAGATAGTGCCAATGCCAGAGAGGATGAAGATGAGGATGATACCGTCGTTCGGACTGATCACTTGGTGAACCTTATGCAGGAGCTTGAATAAAACATTTCGGTACCGTCTGTATATTCTCAGGTGCCGGCACTGTTCAGCTGGCCGACCAGGCGGTTTTTTCCATCTGGCTTGATCCTTCTGTTGTTTATCTGTGTATATATATATTATCTCTCTTTGCTGTTGCTATGTAGCAATACCCATCCTTCTGTCACGATGAGTGCAGGTAGGTCATCGCTGCAGTGCTATGCTAGATCTAAATCCTGCTTTAAACACGCACGCGACGTTTCTTGATTGCATCGGATCGGCTTTCAAATTTCAATTTCGAGTTGTCTTTGTGTTCACAGTCCCCCAACTTCCACCGTTGCTCCCTGTCACGTCTGTCGCAGCGCATAGTGGCCATCGGGGACTTTGGTCTTATTCGCTTTTAGTGCTAGTAGAAAATTGACTACCTAGAAATTGTCTGAGTTGTGGAAGCGTGAGTGCCTACGATCATGGGCTCTTCTGAATCACGTGCCCGGGGGGGGGGATCAGCCTGCATTGGCACCTGAAATGCTGGAACTTGACCTTGATTCCGATGGTGAAGATAATGTTTAGACCATTGAGGTGGATGACCACGAAGTGGAAAGGCAAGTGTGAGATCAAGGGCTGTCTGGACTATACTACCATCTGGACTATACTACATGGACTGTAACGAGCCCTCACTTCCTTGTATCACTAAACTCAGCATCTATCATGCGCTACGAGAATAAATAGAATCCACAATCCCCAACTACCGCACCATGACAACACGATATCCTCGTGGCCCATTCTGGTTAAGTCTACACTTGCTGTCGCCTTGGACATGTACGGCTCTCGGAAGGCCATCAAACAAAGGGCCCTTGAGGATCTTCCACCGAGAAGTGATGTAATCCACGCTTCCTCCTTGGATCGTCGTTCCCCGACCGAATTGCATAGACAATTGATCGCGAAGTTTGATGAATTTGCTGTCCAGCAAAGCAGTTTTCTTGCAATGCAAGCCAAAGTCGAACTTCGAGGTAATACCGAAATTAAACCGTGTTGGTGCGTAGGATGTCAGTCAATTTGGGCACACTTCACAGACAATCTCACCAAAGATCAACTCAAGGCCATGAGTATTTCCACCAAGGTGAATAATGTCGAACTCAAGGTCGTTGTGTACCGTCGCGCGTTTCGTGCGCGTGCTTGTCCACTTCCTTGCATCGCTAGCCTTGGGACATCCCCTAGTTTCAGGATGTGTCAGAGCCCTAGCAAGTTGTAACCATGTCTCTATGAGTTCACAGATCAGAATTTTTCGAATTTTCTTTCACAGTAGACTCACATTTAGCTAGAGAAACACCAATGCTCTTCGCCTTGTAGCAGTCTCGGGGTAGTCTTCAGCATTCCTAGCGCCCACTACTTCCGCAGGTGCAAAGAACAGGATTCCTTGACAAGCTCATTCGTAGAAAGTTAGCTTAACAAAAGTTTCAAAACAGTGATCAGCCTCAGTGTTTTGGTGACCCTATCCAGAGTTTCTTTTGGCAATCGGTCAAAATTTCCCAGGCTTTACAGCTGGGTGTCAGTCCATGCACGTCCTTCTGATTGATATTTCCCTTGTCCAAAGATGCGATTGAAGGTAGAGTCTTCAACAGGGCTCATGACCTCGTTGTAGAGCAACTCAATCACCTCACTATTGCATGAATTGTCCCCCTTTTTGTCTGTGGGCTCCAGACCAAATTGCAAGTTGTAGCATGGGCCAGTGTATGCTGATACTCATCCACTCACCCCGGATTGTCTCAGATTAGAGTGGGAGAGCATATGAAAGATGCAATGGTGCAGGATGACCTCCAGCTTGGCCTTATCCATGACTACGAGCTTACTGAAAGCCTCAACCCCAAACACCAGAAGCTCCACATCCCACGCATTGTGTTTGTCACGCCGGGCCACAGTCTCGCACTTTCCCATTCACTTTCCCTCCACATGTGGGGGGTGGGGGGTGGTGGATGTCTTTTTCTCCATGCCATTTCTCACTCTTTCTCTTCCTATCATCCTTCTCAATTTGCTCTCATCGTATTTCCAACCTTCTTAGCCCAAGCACGTGTGCTATCTGGTTTGCGTTATCATCCACGTAGAGTGTTTATCAGATCATCCACTGACGCGACACTGATAGGGTTCTTCCATTTGTTGATCACTTGTGTTTCTCGAAACCGAGGCTTCTTTTTTATCGCAGTTTCTTCCACATCTTCAATTTCACAGTGTGATTTACACGTTGTCCTGCCAAAATGAGTATCATGCTAGATCCGGAGCAGTTGTCCCGAGGACGGACTTTTGCCAACAGTTGGGAGCCTGCCAAGCTGCTAAAAGTCATTGCAAAGAGCCCCCGTACCTTGGAAACTGGAATCATCGATATCGAGGTTCGACCTGTGCCAGAGGCCATCCGATGCAAGGAGAAGGCTACGGAGGACTTTGGGAATATGAGATGTCTCCCGAACGAAGTCGTGGACCTGATTGTCCACAGATTGGACATACTGAGTGCTATAAGTCTGTCATACGTCAATCGCATCACCAATCAGTTTGTGCAGCAAAGCCCGGTTTCATTTCTGAGGCAGTGGGCCCCCGGCATGCCTAAGATTCTCAGAAAGACCCAGATCCACCAGAACTGGTCGATTCATGAGCTTAAAGAGGCAATTATCCGCGAGAAGTGTGTGGTATGTGGCGATGCGTCCGTTCAACTCTATCTTCCGACGATGGAGCGGATCTGTCACCCCTGCATGCACGAAAATCACGCATACTGGTGTCTCCCCGTAGAACAGGCAGCCATTATCTTTGGCCTGGACTTACCCGATCTCATCAATACACAAACCATGTATCTGCCAAGGCTGAGCAAGAATGGCTTTGATCTGGGGGAACTTGGGGCCTGGGTTGTTCCTGTCAAATTGGCACTGACCAAAGCACTGAAGCTGTATGGCACCCGCAAGGGGATTAAGCGTGCTGTGGAAGGCAGTCCGTCAAGTTCCGATGCCGACGAAGAACAGGACCCTCCCGATGATGAAGAATTTGTGGTCGAAAACCAGCATGACATTTATCGCGCTGCTCCCCTGAATACCCCCAACTCCGTCAAACTGCGCTTGCTCATCTCAATGGGAAATTATCATCAGCATGCTCACCACCATGAGGTTGCTTGTCGGGTACCTGTCGTCAATCGAGACAATACGCGCAGAATTCTTTACTCGTGCCGTGGTTGCACTGCCATGCTCACACACCCCAAGATGGAATCAATTTCTGACAACTACATGCGGATGATGGGGCTTGATCCCGCCCTTGACAAGTATCAGCGATCGTTTGCGATTTTCCGTCGCGCCTTTCGTGTGTGGACTTTGGCCGAGATGATCGAGCATATTCGAACCGACTGCATTGGGAGTTGGTTCCTGCTGCATGCTGCGGATTAAAATGAGTAGTCATGGGTGACTCGATCTCCACGGATGCAAGACGTGATGCGAACCAGGGCCTTCTGATCTCTTCAACGTTTGTGATGGACCAGGGAGTTGGAGGAGGAACAGTGGATCAAGGAGGACTGAGCTGTTTACCTGGCTGGTGTTGCTGAACTCAGCCACGACTTGCCATTTGAATGATGAGCAGTTGGGACATTTTGAGGACTGGAATTTTCATACATGATGTCACGATGTGGTTTGGGGGCGAAGAATGGAGGTAGTTTGCATATCCTGGAAGTGCGTGGCCGATCAATGGCAAATTTGCTATCCTTTGTTTTAGGTAACTGTACCCTTCAATTCTCAAGAGTCCCTTGTTATCTTTCTTTATCCCCCCCATTTCCTGTCTCTTTATCTGGCCAACAAAGAAGGACATTATGGCATGATATTGGCATATCTATGTTCCACTTCGGGAGTTCTGAGTGGAGTGATTGGAACCCCCCCTTGGGAGAGCAAAAGAAAGTTACCCAGTTATAATAAGACTTGATACGCTCGGAGCAGGCTGGAAATAAGGTCAAGGTCAAATGTGGAACGCTCCACCGGGGCACCCTTTGCCTCTACTTTTGGATGGGTACTGATAGAGGATCCAATATCCATGGCGGATAAGACAGACCATCTGAGCCGATCAGTGGACTCGGTGAAGGCAAGAGATATCTTTTTACATAGGAGTATTTGTCGCCAGAGAGATAGCAACCTTGGAAGGTTTGCGGCCCACCGCTCCACATAGATTTGCTTCCTCAGCATCTCAGCCTAATTCACTGGAACCAGAACCTCGTTGTCTACAGTAAAGGTAAGAGTGCTGGCCCATGTCCTTGAAACCTATCTATCTTTGATTATCACGCCCATCACGTTACTAGATTCTCGCATTTATCTCCCAAGATCGTCCACTTCCCCCAGTTGCTTTTCTTTCCACTAGTCAGACATATGGGTCCAGATCTGACCAATCAAATGTCGGATGAGGGCATAAGCACTGGGGCTGCCGCCGCAAGGGATCCATGGGTGGATTGTCGCGGACCGACAATCCAAGGGCCCGATCTTGCAGCCCTGCCAATGGCTGCAATCGCCGCTCTCGGTCAATTCGACCAGTCACAGACATACGGCTAGTTATCTTCTTTTCAGGTTTCTTGAGGTTCCATACCCCAAATCAGTTACCTAACAATTCTCCGTACTCGGTGTATTCCCCCGCGGGGAGCCAACGGTAGTGCAGAACGACGGATAGAGGGTTTGATATCGAGAATCTGTCATGTCGTTTCATTTGGGGCCGGCTTAATATCTCCAAATTCCTTCTGGTTGGAATTTTTCTTTTCTTTTCATCACTTGCTGCCTGTGGTACAGATCACTCGCCATGGACAAAGACGAATACAGTAACGATGACGCTCAGCTGGCTCAGCTGGGCCATAAGTCGGAGCTGAAGCGAAACTTCTCCATGATGTATGTGCTACAATGAACCGCGAATGCTTGAATGATGCTAACCGCTTGTGTTCGATCGGAAAGTTCGATGCTGGGTCTTGCTTTCGCTATTTTAAATGTACGTGGCGCGATCGGTATACCAAATGTCAGAGGTAGAGGAACCAACCACTGACACAGACCAGTCATGGACCGCTTTGTCGACAAGTTTGGGGCTCAGTTTGCCCTCGGGAGGCAGCGCTAGTGTTGTTTGGGGTAGGCACCCCCTCGGCTCTCTGTCAAATTCCCAAAATATCGAGCTGACAGGAGTCCCCATAGGTCTTGTTACAGCAGGAATCTGTAATTTGTGCATGGCCACTTCCCTAGCCGAGTTTCTTTCTGCATACCCCACCGCCGGAGGCCAATACCACTGGGTCGCTGTGACTTCATGGAGAAAATGGATGCCAATTCTTTCCTGGATTACGGGCTGGATCAACTGCTCTGGCTGGGTTGCGCTGGTCGCAACTGCCGGTCTTTTAGGCAGTCAAATCATCCAGGGTGTGATATCTCTCATGAACCCGGTATGTTATCTTAGACTACTATTGATATCTTTGACTGACTGACACGTCCAGACCTATAACCCCCAGCGTTGGCACCAGTTCCTAATCTACTGCGGCTACAATATCGTTGCCTTCCTCGTCAATGCCTTTATGAACGACATAATGCCCTTTGTCACCAAGGGTGCTTGTGAGATACCCTATATCGGACTGTCGCAGAGCTTCTACTAATTCACACAGTCATCTGGTCTCTGATAGGATTTGCCGCCATTTGCATCACCGTACTTTCTTGTGCCTCGCCAACCTACAACTCCGCAAAGTACGTTGTATCTGGTAAACAACTGCCTAGAACCAAAAGACTGACAAATCACAGATTTGTCTTCACCGATTTTATTAACAGAACCGGATGTAAGTTTCATCTTATCGTTATCTATCATTCTTGAACTGACTCTTGTAGGGCCTGATGGAGTTTCATGGTTGCTTGGGGTATGTCGTTTCATACGGAAATTCAGGAGCATATCTAACATCTTCATAGCTTCTTCAAGGCGGTCTTGGTGTTGCTGGCTTTGATGGCGTCGCCCACATGATTGAAGGTAGCTTTCAGAGGTCTTGCATTTGATCATCAATCTGAGGCTAATGGACAACAGAAATTCCTAACCCCTCGGTTGAGGGACCCAAGATCATGATTGCTTGTGTCGCTATCGGCACTGTCACTGGAGTCATCTTCCTGATTGTACTACTTTTAGTGGCTGGTGATATCAACAAAATCATTGAATCTGCGGCAACTCCGCTCGTTGCAATCTTGAAGAATGCCACCTCGAGCAATGCAGGAACTATCTGTCTCTTGATGTACGCTTCACTGCTCTTCCGCCACTTTCTTGTTGTACTGACACCCTCTCAAGCTTCCCCCTGGTCTGCGTTCTGTTCGCTGCAATCACTATTATGACTACTAGCAGTCGGATGATCTATGCCTTCGCACGGTATGTTTTTATCGGTATTTCATCTTTCAAAATTATGCTAACTGTAGTCTTAGTGACGGCGGTCTCCCTGTCTCTCCCTTCTTCTCTCGTATTCACCCGAAGCTTAATGTCCCCTTGAACTCGCTATATCTCAATCTGGTTCTCGTCACCATCTTTGGCTGCATCTTCTTGGGCTCATCCAGGTAAGCACATGTATCACAGTTCATCCTGGATCTTGCTAACATCTCCAAGTGCTTTCAGTGCTATTGTCTCAGCGTCAGTGGTGCTGCTTGGTATCTCATATGGAATGCCAATTGCAGTCAACTGCTTTCGAGGAAGAAGAATGCTACCGGAGCGCTCATTTGTCCTGCCAGAAATCCTTGGCTGGACTATCAACATCGTATGATATCTTCCCCTGTGGTTTCACTGAAACGATTGTTGACTCGAAATTTCCCAGATCTCGTTGCTGTACATTGCCCTTACTACAGTCCTCTTTCTCTTCCCCCCTGACTTGCCTGCCACTGGGAGCAACATGAGTGAGTTGGCTCTCTCTCCTTTTGTGACGCAAAAAGCAAAGCTAATTCGATGTGACAGATTACTGTGTTGCAGCATTTGGTGTGGTCTTTGTCATTTCCGTTATCCAATGGTTTGTAGATGGTCGCAAAAATTTTGTCGGCCCCCGAATCTCGGTGGAGGTCTTCAATGGAGAGGCCAGTGTCCAGTCAGAGCAGCCAATTCCAGTTGTTGAACAACATAAGGTTTAAAGCTCTGTATAGCTGGTACATATCACTTATAATGGCACAAAATATAGCATTTTCAGATGGAACACCTCGCAATCTAGGTAATTATCTCTCACGATCTAGTGTTAGCGGCAGAAATCTATGGGGACAACAAGGGGTGGTATGATCATTAGATATGTACACTCTCTAACTAACAATAATGACAAGCCCCGCTCTTTTTCCATCAAATGCGGATAACGTCGACCAAACGTAATAAACAACTTTTCCTCCATATGGAGCGCGTCATTATTGCGGTCTGAGGGGTTTCCAGCTTTTAATACCTTGCTCTTAACCATGTGTTGCATCAAGGTATCCGATGGATGGTTAGTGATACATCTTAGACCCTTCGAATGATACGGAGTATGTATGTCCCTATCTAGAAAATTGGTAGTCGTTGCTATCTGCTTTTAGCTGATAATGTGAATCTATCTTGATTGTCGATTTTAAATGACGCGGCTTTGTACACCTTTGTACCTTGTGAGGCAAGCAAAGTAGCAGCTGGAAGACTCTGCTGTAATCTCGTAGACAAATCAGGCCGCTACTCCTAATGGATTACACAAAACCATTAATCCACTAGGCCAAAATATCATTCAAATAACCAGATGCCAAAGAGATGTTCTGTCTGTCTTTGTAGCGGCATAAATATATGGCCCAAATATCTGTTAGGGATCACACTGCCTATACCAGATTGTCATGTGACTAGATTGATAACTGCAACATGTGCTACGTCATCTATGGACATCAACTAATGCTTCACGTGACGATTTCCCAACAATCCCATCCAAACAACAACACACTGTCTCACTCACCGGCACGATGTTTACTGTTCGTTGGCCCTCATTGCCATCGCTTGGCTTATTTTCATCATCGCCCACCCAGGCAATTAATCTACCCCCGGTCAAAGTTCATGAAACCGAGACAGCTCAAGACAAGCCGGCCCGGGCATTTAAGCACTTGTTGAAATTGAATCATGTTGAAAATTCGCTCTTCGACTGTCGGAACTTTCCTAACCAGCTAATACATGTGAGTGCTTTGCATTGCCCCAGTAACAAGAGCTTCCTATGTATGCATTCACCGTCGTTACTCCCTGTCATTGACCTGCGTCCAGCTCTTGAGCTCCTCCTTTCTGCAAGGCGCAGATGCCGAGGCTTTAAGCCGGATATACGAGGAAGAAGCTACCGATCTAGTCAAATGGAAGGAATCACCGGCAGAAATCACTACTCTTGACTGGCGAGGTCACCTGGGATATCGAGGGTGGGTTGCTGGACTGGTCCCGGCCTTTCTCCCGCTTGGGACTCCTCATTAACATCAACCAGATTTGATCGAGCCTTCGTGGATTTCTTTGAAGATCAAATGGTCCATCTCGGCTATGACTGGAAGGAAGTTGTGGCCGAGTACCTGTTTGCTGGCAAGGAGCCCATGTTTGATTCTATCATGGCATCTCGTATGACTTCACTGCTCTTCCAGAAAGCTGGGATTTAACTTGAACAAGCTAACCGTCTGTCTAGTCGGATTGCCATTGATCCATCTTGCGTACGCTTTTGAAATGGATAGTCGTGAGATCGCAATGGAAGCACTTGGGCTTGCAGCAACCTGCCACAATGACATCTACAAGTCCATTGGGGACCCTAAGCACTCGACAAACGAGGCATCGTACGAATCAAAGTCTCTGTTTGCAATCCTTGACACGGTGCGGAAAGATAAGGACTTGGATGGTCTCTTTCCCACTCCCGGCAGCGACAACCTCGATACCCTTTTCGTCAGCCGCAACGCCGTGCTCCTCAACCACTGGAAGGCATGGAAGATCGAAAACCCAGTCGAGCAATTCCGCGAGAGTCAAGAGCTTGCAGCTGCTTTGCTAGTTGGAACAGCTGCCGTCGATTCGACCGGGCAGTACGATTGGTTCTTCGCTTTGAACCTCGCAAGTAGCCATGCCGTCCGTGTCATGCTGCCTTTCATACCTCCCCAGTTCCAAATTTCTCTTATTCGACAATGGTGGTTAATCTGCGTTGGCATCTATGTCGCACAACTGCGGCCCGAGATCAAAATGGACCAAATCCGGAATTATGATCTGAATGGGAAGGACTGGGAATGGGTTGCAGAGGAAGCTGTCAGTGGTCAATTCTCATCCAATACGTACTTTGTTAAAACTACCCGAGCACTGAAGGAACTGGCCTCGACTTGGGGCGATTCCGACAGCTTCTTCTTGAAGGCTGCTGTGCGATTTGTGATCGAGTTCAAGTGCTGGCGGGGTAACTTTGTCGGATTTGAGCTGTAGGCTTTGTTCCTATGTTTTCATCCTCTCATCCCAAGTACTTTATAAATGATTTAATGAATAATCGAAGAAAGTATATTTGATGGATGACGCAACCCTAGGGAGGGACATGAATAGTTTGAAGTGATGTATATGGTCATGTGATGACTCTGTTGTGTTTCCTGTTTGCACTGTTTGTATTGGGGAAACACGGGCATGACATCGTGGACCGAGATCACCACTTAAATCAACTAGTCGAAGCGCGAAATGTTTCTCGTGGCCTTCGACAGTTGGAATTCTTAGGTCTGCATGGTCGTTAGATAGTCACACCGGTTACTCACCGTTCTTCCCTTTATCCTTCTAGCCTAGAAGCGTCAAATACT